TCTCTCTCTCTCTCTCTCTCTCTCTCTCTCTCTCTCTCTCTCTCTCTCTCTCTCTCTCTCTCTCTCTCTCTCTCTCAGTGCCTGAGTATAACAACTGTGCAACTTGTCTGCAGTTAACCAAAGTCCTAACCCCAACAGCATGGTCGCCAAAAAAAAAAAAAAAGAGGAGGCATTTGACAGTGTGGACCTGCAATCTCAGGAAGTCGATCAGAGTGGTCTGCTCTACAGTTGGAGGCACACGTTTTCCGGAAAAGAAATGGAAAAAGATGTCATCGAGCAGAACTGGTTCACATATCACATGGTTGGTTAGTCTCTTACTTACATAATCATATGATGTGATGTCCGTTGCAAACTTTGTTTCCGAACCATAGGCACCAGACCAGTAGCCAAAGTTGGTTCCACCATGGGCCATCTGTTGTCAGAAGAACAACAAAAGAAAAAGAAAAAGAAAAAGAGAGTTGAACAAGAAACACAGCTCTCTTAAAGTCAGCAGCTGCAACTTAACTTACTTGGTGAAAAGGCAAACACTACGAGTAGAATGTGGAGCCTTTGTTTTCCTCTTTAATGTGGTGTTATCACATCTGCAAGGAAAATGAACAACAGGGAGATGACAATATCCAGAATGCACAATCACATTGAAAGCCAGATAGTATCTGAGTGTCCAGAAAGCAGCATTGCACCAATATAACACCAATGGAGATTCGTAACACTGAAAACCAATGTCAATGAGAGCTTGCTCTCGCCACCACCAACACAAGAGTCCAGTCCCTTCTCCCTACTTGGCGCTCGGCGCCCAGCCTACTTCCTACACAGCTACTGTCAGCCTACTAATTGACAATGCAACTGCTGACGTCAGCGGCCAACGAAGTACTTGAAGATGTCGCTTGATGCAGACCATCGCCAATACCAGGTATTTACATCATCCTCATCATCATCCTTCTCTCTCTCCCCTGACTTTCACCCATGTCTTCCATCTCTACACCCGAAGACCACCCCTGCGCCTCACTGTAGACCAAGCCCCAGCCATTTATGAAGGCTGGGCTATGGCGCTGCCCTCAGCAGCGCCCTGCTTCTTGCACGACCGCACACGCTTGCACCTTGCCCTTAGCGCCAGCAGCAGCCCACGAGCGTCCGCTCCAGCAGCGCTGCCGCTAGCATGCAAGTGCCTGAATGAGCGCCCAGGCAGTGAGCTCTTTCCTATATGGAAAGAGCCTGCCTCCCCCGGCGGCCTGGCTGGCCTGGGCCTCTCCCCAGAAGCGTCCGGTAGGACCCAGGAGGCTGTACCTCCGATGCAGCTGCTGGGCCTCGTTCGGTTGGGCCTCCCAACTGTCTGTGTATGAGGCTGCGATTCTTGCCCAGGGCCTGCATTTCCGGAAAGGCCTGGAAGGTCGTGAATGTCTTTGCTGCTCGGCCTGTGTTTCCCTCAACCAACTGGCGCGTCACAACTACCTGGACCCCAAATGCAAATTGACAGCCGAGGGCCTCTCGAGATTTGTTAGGCCCGCCTTCACTTAGGCAGGGCACATCTGTAGCAGGGGGCCCTTAGGCCTGCCAAGGACACAGATCCTCGCGCATCTATACTAGGGGCAATTTCCAAGACAAATACAGAAAGTATGAGTTAACCCCAGGTTATATTGGGGTGAAGACGGTAGTCAACAGTCAACAGAGTAACAAACTTGACAGCTAGCCGAGCTCAAAACCAGAAAACAAGAGCGAAACTTCCCCTTACAACTGGGATTCTCTTTCATTCAAAATTCCAAATCTACCCATCGCAGATTGCTGTAGTCTAGGACCTGATAGGTGTTCTGCTCACACACCCTCCAATAGGCTAGAACACTTTCTGTTGCTCAGGGTCACTATTATCATTGTCATCATTCTGCCGAGTACCCAAGTCATTACTCGCTGACTGAGAGAATCATTTCGATCAGGCACTACATAATCGAGTTTGTTATCCTCATTAGGTTCTGACTTTTATCTCCCGAGCCGGGCTCGGAGGTGCGAGCCTCCTGTTGCTCCGTTTGACCAACTGCTTTTCCACACACATTGGGGCAACACTACCGTTGGTTGATTTACTCTTATTCTTACTATAATGTGAGGAACGAGCCCTCAAGGGGGCCTATCAGACATCATATGTTCTGAGTGAAGGCCCCAGCAAGCCGAGTGCCCGCCCTAAGTGAAGCCGGGCCTGAATATTCGTCAAAGGCCAAAATTTGGCATTTCCATATGTGGGTATTAAGGCTCTCGAAGCACGCCAGTTGGTTGGGTAGACGTGTGCGCCTCCCTAAGCTGCGTCGTACAGTTGGCCCAGGCCTTGACAGTTGTGCCTGGGCACTCACACACAAAGCAGGGCCGATACATTTGGAAGCAGGCCATCGGCCTTTGGAAAAGAAGTACTGCCGATGCACCTACCTGGGAGCCCTGCACGGATGCAGCAAACAGCCCGAGCCTGGAGACTCAGGCCGTGCCCAACTGAAAAGAGCCCAGGCCCTCAACCGTAGTCTCGGGCCTGGGCGCAGGGTCTGAGGCCCAACCAGAAGCTACTGGAAGCTTCCAGCCAGGCCACACGCAGCATCCAGGAGGCTGCCACTTCGATAAAAGAAGTGAGGCAGCCTAGGCCAGGCATTCTGGCCAGTGCAGGCAATGCGGAAGTGCTGCTGCGTTATCGCTTGATGCTGCGCTGCGGTCAAGGGCGCTGATGGGGCGCGTAGCGGTGAAGTGGGGCGCTGCGGGGCAGCGGGGCGCAGGCGGCCATAGCCGGGCTGCTGGGCGCCAGGGGGTAATGCGGGCGATTGGGTGGTCTTCAGGGAAGGAGGCGAGTGTGGGGTAATCAAGGTCTGACTGAGGGTGACGAGATACGTACCTCGTGCATGAAGAGAGGTCGTCTATGGTGCTGACAGTCGTGTACATTGGTTTTCGAGAGTCGAAGTGAGCCTGTTGCGTGAACCAGCTGTAGGTAGGATAGTCGGGTAGAGTAGGTTGGGCGTTGGGCGCCAGGCAGAGTGGAGCGACTTTGGATACTGTGTTGGTGTGGCCTACGGGCTTGAACATTGGCTCATTACTTCATTTTATTGCTCTATATGGATGGTTTCTCGGTGCATTTGTACTCTCTACTTGGATACGACTACCTTGACATCTGTGTGATTTTGCAACTTGGTTTTCTGTATATCGCTCACACTCATATTCCTTGCAATAATAATTTTAACAAAAAAAAAAACTATTTAAAAATATTACTGTATCGAATTGGATCAGAGCTCTTTACCTGTTTCTCAAACACTTTGATGTGTGTACCATTCAACCACGACAGAGGTACAGAGTCTGCATAATTACACACTAGTTGAACAAGTGCTTTGCCTTTGAATGTGCAGAATGTATATCTACCAGGTTCTACCCACATTCGGGGGGCATTCATTTTGCATCTGGGGTTAGTTTGACATGCATCGTATCATCCATATAGGTGCAAGTGTTTTTTTATTGAATTTGCGGAATGGGTGTCTACCAGGCTTTACCCACATTTGGGGGGCACTCATTTTGCATCTGGGGTTAGTTCGACATGCATCGTATCATCCATATGGGTATCCGAAAGACAGCTGTGGTTCCTTTTTTTTTTTGAAACAGGTCCTTATGGCCCTGGCTCCATTCCATTCTGGGGAGCTTCCACCGGCAAGTCAGAATACAATGTTACATCATGACACACACTCACGCTTCCATCCGTCTGGCCGAAGGACCCCTCACCAGCATTGATTACTCCGGCCTCGTGGAGGATTGGCTGTCAGCTTGCCTTACTTCCACCTTCCCTCTCAGGTCCACATCATGAACCTGTCAGATCAATAATAAAGAGCAAGAAAGGTAAAAGAAGCTGCGGCGGATGCACTTTCGGAAATTGCCCATCAATATTACGTGCCCTGTGATGGATCTTGTCCATCTGCTGGCTGGGATCTGTCTTCTCCACCCTGCTTCTGAGTTATGCCAGTCTTTCCACTGTATGAGAAGGTCATTTATCTCTGCTACTTTGCCCCCTGCGAGCCACACCTTAGTGAATTTTGCCGACATTCTTCCATGTTGCTCTTCGTCGTCTGGCATGGAGTGTCTCGTCTTTTGCCACTTGCACAGAATCTCTGCCTGAATCAAGGTTCTTGTCTCTGCCCATACCTTCTCCCTTGGAGTTGAGAGTCCCTCTATGGTTCTGCCGCACCTTCCTTCCAGATGGACCACAGCGTTACCTTTCTGATCATTCCGAACCACATTTTCTCTGTCTTGTGGAATTGAGCTGGGATGTTAGTCCATAGAAGGAGTTGGATGGGGTGTTCAGGGAGGGGAGTCGAGAAGAGGGAATTCCAGAGATCCGAGGCCCTCGCCCAGTATTCCGTCGCCTCTCTACAGCGTATCAGGCAATGTAGCATATCTTCTGGTTCATTTTCTGAACATACCGCACATAAATCTGAACTGTTGGGGTCGTTCTTACTTCTTCTGATATGCAGCCACTGGTTAACCGGTAGAGCCACGTATGATATGAGCCATTGGAGGCTTCTGATTTTGACTGGACGGATTGATTTGAATTTTTTCCACGGTATTTGTGGGATCTGACTAGCGTCCTGACCTAATAACTTCTGCCATCTGTTCTTGATCGTTGGGTCAGGATCCTTTGTTTTGAGGAGTAAGTTCTATCCCAGTTTGACTGTGTATTCCTGGATGGGGACCTTCGTTTTGAGACTTCTGTTTCTATCTGGTGTCCAAGCCCATTCTGCTGGATCAAATTCCAGGTCTTGAATCGCCGTATCTATTCTGAAGATTGTTTTTGGCCAAGATCCCAACACTCTTACTTTTCGGAGAACAAAAGGGTTTAGGACTGTTCTTTCCACGTCCTTATTTATGATAGAAGGGAGGCCTTGCGTGGAGGAGGTAATTGGGAAAGAGGTAAACACAGCCAGGGTATCCGACCCTTGCTGTTTATGGGAGAATTGATAGGCCCTTGAAGGGGTTAAATCCTGCACCCTCACTCCCCACACTGAAATTTCATAGATAATTTTATTAATTTGAAAAGGATCTGAAAATTCACCGAAGACATGGCAAATGAAAGTAGTGCCAAATTGCCAATCACTAAAACCTTAGTAAGAAGTAGTTCCCGGTTCAGCCTTTAATAGTGTTCAACCCTGTTAATTGCAATGAACCGCTCAGATTCACTCTCCACTCAACATGCACATAGAAAGCTCACATGAAGATTCACACCAAAACCAGATATGGAACATCAAAATCAGCAGCTCGTAAACTTCAATGAATGCTCAAATTATACAATTTCAGAGTTCAGATAGTCAGTGCTTAGTAGCACAGCCAAGAACTGTATCCAGCGCTCATCCACGCAGTCAACAACAACCCCAAACAGGTAGATTACCTCAGCACCCTCTTCTTGTGACT